CATAGACCTACTATTGGATCAAAGATAATAATAATTTCAGCCAGCCACACTATTTAATGAGGTTCATTTGGCTGGTTTACATAGTTTTTTTTAAGTGTGGAAATGCATGCTCTTAGAATTATGGTCCATGTGTGAAAAAAGATATGGAGTAAAACAGAGCCCGTCCACTTTTTCAAGAGCCTTGGTTTTTTCCATAGAGATTTTTTGAAGTCTTTGTTCAAGAGTTATAAACCATGAACCAAATCAACCAGCAACGAGGTTAATCACATTAAAAACTTTAATTTGAAGCAAAAATGTATTTGAAAATTGACAAGTGTACTTAACAGTTTTACCCACAGATCCATGAACTGTGAAAGACATAAACAAAACTACATATTTTATGCTCATTTCAAAATATGCATATATAGACAAATACAGTACTAAAAATAAAGGTTCTTTCTTGGCATTGATGTTCCCATGAAACCTTTCCATTGCACCAAGGGTTCTTTATAATGAAAAAAAGGTTCTTCTGATTATTAAAATATTCTTAACAAAAAAAAGGGTTGTTTTAAGAACTGTTCACAAAGTGGTTCTTCTATTGCATCCAAACCCCCTTTATTTTTAATAGTGTACTTCATTTGCGATGCTTCATGGGAAGTGGGCAGGCAAATCAGGAAATCAGTAAAGAATTCCTTTTTCACAATTTGCTTATTGTGATTCTCTGATTGGTGGAGGTTTCATTGCTGAATCATTGGGTAATTTAGTTTCTCATCTGCTGTTAAAATGATTATTTAAAAAATATGTTGAAATAATGCAGGCAGATGAACGTACTATCAATTAACAACCTTGTACTGTAGCTCACACTGTAAGTAAGTTAAAAATCAATCCTAAAATGAATGGGATTTTTCAGAAGCCAATTGTTGGCACTTCATAGTAGACTAAGCTGCAGCATAGAACTCGGACAACAGTGAATCTCAATCTAAATACAAAGGGAACTGCAACTTAATATCTAAAAATGTGATTTTATCTCTCAGAAATTAACTTTATATCTCACAATGACCTAATATTTTGCAAATGCAGCTTTGTTTCCTATAATTGCAACTTTATATTTTGCAGTTTAAATGTCATATGTTACAATGTGATTTACAATGACTATCTTCTTATTTTTATTTTTATAATCTGCTTTTACTCTGAGGCAGAAACAGATCTTCCCCTCAAAATCCGATCACAAGTGGTCACAGGAGACACATCTGAAAAATGTTACATCAAGGTGTAAACAGCATGTGTCGCCTTCCCACTTGTGATCGTATCACCCAAGATTTAACACCACTTTTTGGGATAGATTTTGTGCTGATTGCATAACACCTTTAGTGAGTCGAGCAGCAAAGCAACACAGCCCATGCAAATATAAATTCCTAGTGAAATCCCCCCAAAGACTGTATCAAATACTTCTGGAGCAAATACTCACTTTTATCAACACTGCTGTCTGCTCCCCAATGTAGTCGATGAGCTGCAGCTGTGCTAGGGCCTTAAAAACACACCAAAGAGAAAATCAAGTCATAGACCAGAAACCAAAACAACAGACATTTAACCTGACAGCTCTGATTTTCCATCTTTTAAACAATGGAAGTGAAATATCAGTATTCATCTATTTTTGTCTCGCCGCTTGCGGTGCACACTGGTATGAGTGATTGTGAATGTTGGCTCTGCTATAGAGGGCAAACAGTTTATCTTGGAGCAGCGTTATGCTCCCCACTGGGCCCAAGGGGTGGGCTTCCCTGTGTGAATACTGTCCTCCTAACAAAACAAAGGATTAAACCAACACAAACAGCAAACCTAGCATTTCTGCTGCTGACATGCTCACTTTCTTCTTACTTAGACTCCCAATCTCTAAGTCACCCTCTTTCTCCTTCTTTATTCATGAATGTGATAGATAAAAATAAACATAACAATGCACTATTATATACACTATTAATATTTTATCTTTCATGACAATGCACTTATATTTTATATTTAAAATATTTTGTTCTCTATAACAATGCACATTAAATTTAGGGAGGGAAAATAACAAAAATAGATATAGACATATAATAAAAATGTATCAAGCATATACATAATAATACACTATTATATATCTTTCATGACAATGCATTTTAAATATTTTGTCTTCTATAATAATGCATTTTTTCCTCTTTCACACTTAAAAAAAGAGTGTGTAAATATAAAAACAGACAAACGTATATGTACGTGTGTGTGTGTGTGTAAAATAGATTTAATAAAAGAAGTAGAACACATTTTCTTACAATAATTGTGCAAATTAATTTAGAGTTAATACAAGTCTAATATAATATAAATCTTTTTTAATCATATTTTAGGGGAATTAAATTTATTTATTTATTTTTTTTTTATTATTGCATTTTTTGGTTGCATTAAAAAAAAATGAGGGGGCGCATTTGAGGCATGACAGGCTCCAAACCAGCATCCAAAACACGACATGGGCCAGTGACCAGCTAAACTGATCTTGGTAAACAATGACTAGCCATCACTGTGATGTAACAGATGACAGAACATTGGGATATGTGGGCGTTTGTTGAATATTAGCATACCTCCATAAGCACAAACAGAGCAGCGAAGAACAACAGGGTGGCCCATTCCACTCTGTGAAGTATGATCTCGAAGTCCTGAATGTCAGCCAGCACCAGTAACCACAGAGCCCCCAAGATAGCAATCCAACCTGAGGGACAAAACAGTACATCACTGGAGATCACTGGAAAACAACCAAGAACACTGTTCACACAAACATTTTATTTCCTGTTGTTGCACGTAAAGGTTTTAAGATAATGGAATCCTGGAAAACAGCCGACCGGTGGTTAATGCAATGCATCAATTATATGTTATGTCTCTATCTATCTTGCCTTCTCACGACCACAAACACTTTCTCATCAGCCGACCACAGCGGTCCTAAATCTGGCATTCCACTCACACAAAAAAAAACATTCAGCGAGAGAGAGAACAAACAGCAGCATTCAATTAGAAACACAGTCCAGCCACCTCACAAACAGGCTCATAATCGCTCTGCACATCAATACACTGACACCACAGGTAGTCTGCATCACCACAATGGACTACAGACTGTCAGGGCATAAGAATAATAAGCCAGTTACTGGATAATCTTCATTAAAGGCTTCTGTGATGTGCCCGACACTGATCTAACTAAGAACCTCAGTCTAAATAAATGACGGGAATCACAACTACAGTAGATATAACAGAACATAAACGTGCCAGTTTCCCTGAGAGAGGTGATCATAGTAATTAATTCTGTATGCTTTTTTATGTTTGAGAAGTCTCTTATGCTCACCAAGGCTGCATTTATTTGATCAAAAACAAAGTAAAAACAGTAGTATTGTGAAATATTATTGATGATTTTAAATAACTGCTTTCAAATATATTTTTTAATGTTGTTTATTCTTTTGATGGATAAGCTGAATTTTCAGCAGCCATTACTCCAGTCTTCAGTGTTTCATGATCCTTCAGAAAGCATTCTAATACGCAGATTTACTGCTCAAGAAATATTTCTAATTATTATAAATGTTTGAACATAATTGTGCTGCTTAATATTTTTGTGGAAAAAGGGTAATACATTTTTTTCAGGATTATTTGATGAATAGAAAATTCAAAAAGAACAGCATTTATTTGAGATAGAAATTTTAATTAAAGTCTTTAAAGTCTTTTTTTTTTTGTTCAATGAATGCAGGCTTGCTAAGTAAATGACACCTGAATCTTCAATTTTATGTGAACATTCCCTGTGCTCTGTTCAATAAATATTAGCAAAATAAAAGTCAATCTGTACCACAGTTTATTTTAATCCACTCAGATGTTATTTTGATATCAATCTGAAATATCGCTGAAAAATGGAGGTGAAATATAAAAGGACATTAGCTGGTGTGAACATTGTGCATGCTGTCAAGAAATATTGCCAGACATTTTACTGCTGATTAGGTGATGTACTGTTTCCCAGAAGCCTCTGGGATTAAAAACATACGCAGCGTGTCAGGAACAAAATGTACGAGTCACTAAAGTGAGACGGATAATACAGCAGGAAGCGGACCAGCGTTATACTGCTCCATCACATGCGGTGGTAGAAGTCCATCATAATGAGTGTGCCATTTAGACATCAAGACCGTGCACAACTAATGCATCACATCTCAGCCTTTGACCTTTACTATAATAGCCACAGAAAAACAGGCTTTATTCTGGACCTGCGTATTACATGCAACTGACGTTGACAATTAAAAAAAAAAAAAAAAAAAAAAAAAAAAAAAAAAAAAAAAAAAAA